GATCTGTCAAATACTAATGCATGAAAATCCTAACCTCAAAAAAATCATACGTACATACGTACCTACGCATAGCACATTTTAGGGCGTAAAGAGTTGCATTCACGTATGTATGTACGTATATTACAGTTACAGCGCATGCGTAGGCGAAAAGTGTCTTAAGTTATGCCAGAGTTTCATAATAAAATTTGGTGGTGATTTTCCGCATTTGCACAGAAATTTCAAAAAAGTTGATGGAAAAGTTTCTTATTCCACTTCAAAGTAAACAAAAAATTAAGTGCGGCTTCACTTTTGGTTTTCTTCATTTTATATTCTTGACAAAAGTTCCGAATGATAATCCAGGTAACTTGGTGATATGCAAAAGTATACGGAATACCTTGAAATTTTCACAATTTTTGTTGGTTAACGTCTACTCGTAAAGGTAGGTATATGTATGTAAATACATAAATGAAATGAAATATATGTATGTATGTATATTAGGGCGGGTCAATTTGTATGGGATTGTAGGGGGATTCTACGTGTAACTTTTAGCAAATTTTCCAAAGAATCCATGGGTCTAAAATCAATTTGGAGTTTGCCAAATTGCGAAAATATGTTTCTTTTTGTCGATAAGAAGTGCTTAAATGAGTACTTTTTGCACAGAAATAAAATGAGTGGGAAAATACCTTTCCACTGATAACTCACAAGTCGAAATCGGAATAGCTATGGTCCAGTTATTCAAGTTTTTCTCAAAAAAATCTTTGAAAAAAGTTAAAAAACAGCATTAAAAATCTCCTCATTACGAGTCCGTTGAAATTTTTTTTTTAATATTTGTATGCATTTTGCTGCCCCGTTTTCTAGAATGAAATTTTTTTCTCCATACAAAAATTGGACCACTCTAATGTACATGCATAAGTTTGTATTGAAAAAAATTTCAAGGATAAGTAATATGTATATACATTTTACTATTTTAAAACACAAGAAAATGTGAAAATTTTCACTGTTGTGCGCTCTGGCGAATGTTTTAGGAAAACGATAAGTCCAGAAATAGATTCCTCACACCAAAAACCTCTTAATAGCATGCTTTTATTTATATTTAAGTGCGGCACTACAACAAAATGCTAAGTAAAAGAAATTTATTTTCGCAATTTGGCAAACTCCAAATTGATTAAAGGTTGGTCGTGATAAGGGCGTGTGGTCGTTTATAAAATCTGGCTCTATGCTTGGCCAGTATTGACCAGGTGGTTATATGGTGTTCCATTGATTCCTCATCTTCATCACAGAACCTGCAAATCTCTGTACTACAAAGGCCAATCGTAAACAGGTGTTTGTTGTTACTAGCATAGTGGCATATTAGTGCTCGACATAGCCATTTTAGGTTTCTCTTACTTAGCGTGAGCGCAGATTGAGCTCTTTTGTCATTGAAGCCACCGGTTTCCCTTGAGTGATGGTTTCTCTTAAAATTGTCCAAATGACTGGCAGTGTTTAATGGGCAAAATGGGTTAAAATGGGTGGGTTAAATGGGCAGAGTTTAACAAATTGGGTGTCGAACTCTTTTTTTTTAGCTTCTTCTTTTTAGCTTTTTTATATAGTCAGTGTGGCTAAATAGATCATTGAGTGCTCTTTAGCACTCTAGATTGTAGTTGTAGGTATTTCAAGGTATTTTTCCGCAAAAGAATAAACTGAGACAAAGAAAATCCTAAAACCCGGAATGACAGACATATTTGGTATACTAACGGCTCCCAGACTGACCATGGCGTCGGAGCAGGATTCTAAGGCATACAACGCAGAAGGCTCCTTTTCACCAGCACGAGCCAAGGCAAGTCCGTGCTTCAGGCCGAGGTGCTCAAAATATATCTGAAAATATGGGGATCTTTATTTTGGCATTTTGCCTCTGTAATAAGATGTGGTCAGTCTCAACTAGTTGCACCCGGAATATTGTTGTGTCTTTGCTTAAGGGAAAAAATTTGCGGAATCGAGGCTCCAAAGACCGTCTGCACTCGCTTTGGTTAAAATTTTTCTTAGTCATTTATTGAACAATAAAAAAATACTGGAATATTGTGATATTATTTAATTGTTTTTTCAAAATCCGTTTTTGCTGTTGAATAAATAACTATAAGTAATCTTAGGGTTAAGGTGCAGAGATGGTATTTTCAGAGATTGTAATCGAAAGTTCAAGCTTTAAATTAAGCCTAAGTGGAAGTATCTATCACCATTTGCCTCTTTGCTAGAGCTTTTCAAATATTACAAAAAATGCGATTTTTTGACATTTTGACCTGGTTTATTTCAAAATCTCGAGCCGATGGAAACTAAATACTTACGGATTCGTAATCAGCATAAAAAAGTCTATCAAAAATAATTTTAACATTTGCCGCACCAAAATTTTTTTCCATTACTTGGGGAATATCTGACCATTATTTCACCTTACAGTGATTCCTCAGTAAAAAAAATAAGAGGAAGACTCCTTTGGATACCTGCAGAATGTACTATGTACAAATTTGTTTCGTGAGGATATTACAATAAATTTACCAAATCATAACACGCTTCTTACAATAAAACGTCATTTCCTACTTGAAAGTTTACAATTTACAAAAATATTTGCTAAAAAAAAATTAAAAACTATTTATTTGTAAAACCAAATCACCATTTTTAAAGTACTGCTAATTTACTTTCACTTACTTGAGTCCAGCAATTTTTGTGTTCGTTGCAATTCCTTTTCCGACTCTTTTTTATGTTCCATCGCTTTGTGTGTCTCGATGAAAGCAAGGCGCTGCCCACGGTCCGTCAGATACTTGGTGTACATGCCAGCCACATTAATTGCCGTGTACAAAATGAAGTTGGCGAATATTTGAAATACAATGCAATCAGCTTGCTAACAAATAAAATAAAAAAAATAAACAAATAGAAATATAAAATAAAGAGCAACACTAAACAACAAAAGTATGTATGTGAAAAGCAGAAAAACGTTTGACATTTCAATTGAAAACGGAATAAAATGAATGCAGCGCAGCAGCAGCCATTCTTCAGCCTTCCTTGCTATGCAATAAAATAAATATTTCAAAGGCCACTGCATGCAATATGTCGAATAAATAGTTGGACAGACGCTATTTAGTTATAACCTTCGCCAACTAACAGTACACGCTTAACCTGGGTACGTACTTCTTTCCGTCTAACTTTAATTATGGTAATTACGGCCAGATGACAACTAGCTGTGATGGTACCGCCGACGACACACCATTTCAGTGGCAACGGCAGCATTGCATACGGCACAAATATCACGAACAGGATGTACCAGACCAAGTATTCGCGATACGTGAAGCCAATACCTTGTCCAACGAAACCTGTAGTGGAGAGAGAGAGGAGCGAGAATAAGGAGAAAGTTAGTGAAAAAATAATATTAATTTCCATAGCGGTACATTATTGTGGAAATGTGCAATTCTAGCCAAATTGTGCACAACTTTGTGGCTGTCTAATTTGATGTGGTAAAATTTGCATTTTGTCTACAAATTTGCGTTTGGCGGTATGGGAGGCTCGTAAAATATTTGGTTCTTATAAATAGTAAAATAGTATGGGTCATATTGGTGCTGACTCTGCAGCGAGTAAAAATCTAATTGGTATTATAAAGCGGAGCAATCTGTGCCAATATAACGGAGGAGAAAGTAAAACAAAAAACTTCTTAGTATACACTAAAATGAGATCCGTTTATGAGCGCCAGTAAAACCAGGAGCACCTTGAGGTACTGATACGAGTATAGGGTGATTCAAGGGTGTCGCAGATCTTTGACAGCAATGATTTGTGATATGTTACGATTTTTTCTCAGAAAATTGGTCTGTAATTTCGGAAAACTAAGTTATGGAGAGATACTCAGTTGAAGAACGCCTAAAAGCAGGGAGCGAACATAACAGTTATTGATGAAAACTGTCATTGCAAAATTTACTATGAAGGAAATGTTCTACAACTAAGTGATACATACCAATCGATTTCTTTTTTCACCGAGACTCAAATTTGAAAATAAATTTTTATTTGCAATTTTTAAGCAAAATTTAAAAAATAACAATTACTTTTGATTTTTATACTATAAATCCAAAATAACAATTATTTTCGATTTTTATATTATATGTCGTAGATAACAGATATTGAAGACTTTTATTTATAATATTTATTTGATATGTGCATACTATTGCCAGAGGGGTCGTGGTGGGCATTTAACGGATGTCGTTTTTCATACGGGTTAGTAGGGATGCCTTTGAATGAAGTACAGAATTGGAACTCTCACAAAAGGTAAATTATCTCGAAGTATTTATGGATCTAAAAACCATTTGCAAGTAAAATATTGAGAAGCGAGCATGGAGGGCCTCAGTAGCCCTCTATGCAACCAAAATAATAATAGGCAACAAATATGCATTAATGCCAAGGAGTGTACCTAACGTGGATGTACTTGGCTATAGACCGGCCCATACTTTCTTATGGAGCTTTAGTACGGTGGCCAGTTCTAGCTAAGGAAATGGATACTATTAAATTAGTCAGCGAAACGTCGTGAGCTGATTACGAAATTGCGAATACGGCTAATCTAAATGCCTGAGAACTCCTTAGGGTAAGTCAAAAAGTGCGAGCAAAAAGGTTTCCACCTTAGCCTCACGAAACCTGGGCAGTCTAATAGAAAGTGCTGATATAATTCCACTTCAATATCCTCATGACAGCCGATATAAAAGGGATTAGGTAAGGTTCCCAACCTTACAGTGTGAATACGAATTGCCTCGATCTACACCAGGCTAGAAGGATCTGCATTTTCGCATGTTATAGTTTTAGTCCAGCACACGCTGAGCCTATATGAGAACCAACGGTCCGAGAGTGAAACGCAGGGGGACGTTCAACGCCATGATAGCCGCCTGGCTGTTAGAATATATGCTATCTTCCCTAACACACTTCAGCAGTGAGTCGACCGCTCCCTTGATGGTAGCTGGTTACTGGAACCAAATTCCTTTGGAGTACAGTGTCATCCAAACTCGTTAAAATTTGCTAATTGCTTGTCCCTAGGGTGACACATTGCCCAAATTAACCAACCAACCAGCTCAGCAAAGGTTTCACGACATTCTAAATTTCAATACAGGAACCCTAAAATGACACAAAAAACACTTAAACTAATCTACGAAGATTACGAATCTGTATACCATTTTTCTAGATCAAGTAATTTTCACAAGATATTTTTTGATTTTAAATTTGCATTGCAAATGAAAAAAAATTAAACATGGAAAATGTTACTCATACGCCATGTACGAGTATTTTCGAGTACGGTAACATTATTTTCTGACCCTATTTCATACAAAAAATTATTGCACATTTTCACTCTTCAAAACTTGCATAAACCATCGATTTTCATCGTAAGTAGCTTGATTCTTTGGTAAAAGAACAAGTCTTAATATAAATTTAAAAAAATTACAAAAGATTTCTTAATTTTTAAATTTTTTCTTTGTTATTGTTTGAACTTTTTTTCAGGAAAAATGGCCTTATCTGGAAAAATCATGTAATCTATGACCCAATCTTAGGTTTACATGTTTCGGAGTTTTTTTGTGTCATTTCAAAACTTTAGATTTTCCTTGCAGTGCTTTCGACGTTATTTTTTTAATGATTTTTGACAAATTCATAAATTAAATTAGGTTAGTGTGTAATTTGCAATTCTTTTTGGATTAATTCACAGACAAAGTGCAAAAATACATAAATATTTGTGTTGCATTCTGTATTTTAACTTCATTACTTACCTTGTATATTCATTAAAACCCATGTACATACGGCTGCCCAGTGCAAATAGTTGTTGGCAAAGCATCTCCAAAAGCCCAAACAGCAAATGCTTACATTGGCTACAATACAGCAAACGGACCAGGTAATTGCCGTTGACAATTTCACATCCTCTGAATCGCTATCCGTTAGGGCGTTGTAAGTACCGTTGCCCTGTTTGAAAAAAATAGACAAATACAGAATTTCGAGGCATAATTCGGGCATTAAGTATACGCATAGGTGTACCTATGCATGTAAGTATGTATGTATATTGTTAGTATGTAAGGGAGCTTAGTACTTCAACATCCACTGGTATCAACATCAGTCAACAAAGCAGTCAATTTTATGAGTTTACTACTACCTCTTGTTTGCTTTTTAGTCTGATTTTCTGGCGATTGTCAGTATTTTGATAAGCATTTTGTGTTTGTTTGTTTAAAAGGAAGAGGGGCAAGGAAACCCGCGTCCGCACCCGGTGAGAATATAATTTGCTAGTTTTGCGTTAAATTGTATTTATACCCTTAGAAGATTCACAAAAGGTAGAGGACAGAGTTTTGTAATATATGTAAGTGCATTTGCTCTCACTGTGTACGGTTCCCAAATCAGCGTTTAGTGCGCATAGAACAGTGGTGGGAATTTTAATTCAATAGCTGTTAAATCAGCCTGAGTTAGGATAGTTTGAATGACAAAGTTCAGATAGGATTGCTGGTCTGACAGTGCTGATTTAGTGCAAAGTTAGGATAGTTCATGGAGTTGGGTAGTCTTTCGACCGGATGAGATGAAGTAGCCTGGGGCCATCAATATGGAAGCTTTGTTGGCTTACAGAAGGGTCAGGGTTCGAACAATATTAGGGGGAACGTAATTTTTAATTTTTGTTTGGTTTTTCTTAATTACGAAAAAGCATCTATGAAGTGCAGAACGAAATCGTATTCAAACGAAAAAACCTCCAAAACTAAATCTCTTAAAAGTAAACAAAAGGAATGTTTGGCGCCAAACCAAATGTGTTTCAGCTTGAAACAAAGAGATTTTTTCTCAGTGCACAAGAGTAGAATAATACAACATTCGTTCCCGTGACAATCGGGTCTATGTTACCGAAATGACCTAGATCTATGTATATCTAGCCATGGACTGTTAATACTGCTGATTCCCCAAAAACTCTTTGGGGACTTATTAGCCACTTGCAACTGCACTTGACTCTAAAAGATCTATATTATATATTATATATTAAGATATCCGCCAAAATAATTCGAAAAAATATTAAGATATACGTGAGCTGAAACGATTTGAAATGCCTCTAAAAATCTCGTTATTTTCATACCGTTTAAAAATATTTTTATGCAGACCTTTTAAGCTGAGGCGATTCAAAAAATAAATTAAAGCCAAATTCCTAAGAATCGCACCAAAATCTTTCGGATACTTACTAAGATTTACATGAGCTATTGATTGATATTTTTTTTACACCCGAGCGCACTTGTGCACAAGGGTATATTAATTTTGTTCACATAACGGTTGTTTGTAACAGCCAAAATGAATCGAGATAGATATAGACAAATGTCCACATAAATGATCAGGATGAAAAAAGAAATCGATTAAGCCATGTCTGTCTGTCCGTCCGTCTGTCCGTGTACACGATAACTCGAGCAAAAATTGAGATATCTCAACGAAATCTGGTATGTAGGTTTCCCTTAATCCAAGGTAGGCTGGTATTGCAAATTGGCGAAATCGGACTTTAACCACGCCCACATCCCATATAACGGTAATTTTCGGAAATACGAAAACTGTGATATTTTAGTAACAACTCAAGATTATTCACTAAAAATTGATATTTACAACAATTTTTAGACGAAAAATAAGAATATTATAAATTTTTGGAAAATGGGCGTAGCCACGCCCACTTATGGTTACATGTGTATATCTTGGTAACCGCTGCACC